ATTGATGTAGCGAATAGTTGCGATGTTAAATAAAATCTTCATGAAGAGCCGCATTAACAGCGGAACAGAGGTGCAATATAATCGGATATGATAGCAGCAAGGGACTTATATCTAAACACTCATCAAGTTTCATTTGTTGGAAAGCATGATCTCAATTCTATATATTAGTTAAACAAGCATGGTATTTAGTGATGTATATTCCATTTCCTTTTGTTCAGTGTTATCTTCTGTATGCAACAGTATAAATGTTCAGAAACAGCTATAATAACAGCGGAAAATGTTTCACCTATGTAACTAATAACTATCGTAGAACTAGTAAAATGCAAAAACTTTGGAATAATGAGGTTATGATTACTATGCATGAACTCAGCATTCCTAGGACTAAGCTCCTACACAATTTGGAGATCAGCAGAAGAGTAAATAAACCTGTGTCTAACAGCATCAAATGTAGGATAAAACAAGAGAGTCACACATCAGAATAAAAGAGTACGAAAGAGAAGATCATGTCGAAATTGAAAGAAACAATATAACACATCTCTTAGTATGTATGTATTCGGAAATGATACTTTTACTTAACTGTTTCTGATATTAACCAGGCATCACATCTGCACACTCATTGGGGATCCTTCAACAGATAATATCTGATGAAGCTGTATGTATCCCGTGCTTTGAACAACATGAGCAGAGGATTCTGTTCATCCAATTTGCTGATCTGGTCACATATTTCACTTTTCAGCTTCTGGTATTCTGCCACCTTAGGTATTTTTAGATTGAAAATCATTTCAATGCTTTTCTTCAGCACAGATTTGAAACTCTTGGGATGCTGAAAAACCATTTCCAGACATATTCTGTTTTTGTTTATGTAGTTGATGCCCATCTTCTTATCCCAAGCATCCAATGACTTAGCATGTGAAAACCAAAATTTGGTGAAAAAAGGTGTGAATGTCAAAAACAAAAGATCATAAAAGCTCTGTAACATGCCATTTTCTACATCAAAACATGATAGTGTATTCATATAAAGGTATGAATATTCAAGTTGTGATAACAACTGATATTTGCTTACATGATTGCTATCGACACGTAACAAAAGAAGGAGATTAGAAAATAGAACATCTCTCGTGAAAGAGTGGTAGCATACCATCATAAGAATGGTTTCTTGCCTAGAATTCGATAAATGTGCAATTTCATTGTTTAAAGTTACCAGCTTGGATAGAATAGTCTCAATTCTGCTAACGATGTAAATAATAATGATCCTGTAGCGAATATATACTCTTGGATTGAGAGCACAGAAGTTTTCTAACCACTTGCACAAACAGACAAATTCGGGAAACAACAGGCATTTTTCACGGACCTTGTGTCGTGAAATAGATGCAGCGAAGTAAAGAACGAACCCGTCAGAGTATGTAAAAAAGGACTACAATTTTGAAATGGCCGTAAAGCACTGTATTTGAACACAGTACATATATAATAGAATTCGCGCACTTCGCTAACTGTAATTTCATTTGTATTCGCCGCATTTGCATAATCTTCCATATTAATAGAGATAGCAAGTAAATAGAAAAAGTCACGGATGTTTTTATCATATGTGCTCTTTGTTGCTTGCACAAATATTGCATCAAATAGCTTTTTCATTTCTCTAACCCTTAATAGTATTATGATATGTCTCTTTCATGTGCTCGCTAATTGCATCAACAATGTTATTACTTTCGCTCTTTCTTTTTTTAACCTGGCTTAGTCTTTCTTTTGATTTCAAAGTCATCGCAGTGAACTTCATGAGCACTGCCTTCAACTCCACGAAATGGTTGTTTATGGCACTATCATCACAATGTAACAGCATTATTCTGATATTTTCTAATTTGCTTAGTTCATGTTGATTCCAGATGAAATCAATCACTTTAAATAGTTTGCTAGTGCTGGGTCGATCATTATTGATACCTTGAAACATGTATCCATGTGTTTGTTTGTAGTGTTGCAGATAGCTTATCGATCCGTGATAGGTATTTTGAGATTCATTTCTCTGAAGACATGTGCTAGTTGCTTCGCTATCATCAGGATTATCCACATCAACTGGATTGATCAAATCAGCCATATTTCTAGCACAATTTTGCAGTGTGCCGTCAGAATCGCTGCAATGCATCATTTTTATTACGCAACTGAAGATGAGTCGAACCATAATTTGGTGCATGTATGGCAGTAAAATTGCCTTTTTATACTTTAAAATATCTAATTTACTTCAATATCATTCTGTCAAATTTTCACATTCCTATTTGTATTTAATAAGAATAGTTCTAACATATCGGCATACAACATTGTAAATCCCATTTTACAGAAGTACTTGCACTATTATTATTTATTTCTTGCATGTTTAATCCAAAAAGAAATGATTCTATGTCCTTGGTAACAATTACGGAAAGTGGCAGTGAAGACTAAAAATTTTTGATTGAACCTTTTATTGCATGTGTTCATTCTGAGCAGCGAAGCAGAATGTGCTACAACTTGGCAATATCTCCAAAACCAATAAACTTACAGCAGATAATGTTATTCAAAGGAATTGACATGCTGTACACGCTTACTTGGCACTGAACAACCTTTATTGGCATCTACCATTGCTTGATAAGAAATATTTGTCAGAAAGTCGTTTATCCATCACCACGCACCGAACCGAATAAACAAACACGCTTTCTTGATCAACGAATGCAGAACATTGTTTTCGTTCTATTTTGTACTCTTCATGCATTCTAACAATTTAGTGAATACCCATTTCAACAACATTTCTTCTCCAAGAACATTGCGGCTGAAGAATAAATGAATGACTAAGCGCGCACCTATGATATTTTTCAACGATAATGTTGGATATTATGTAGAATATTATACAAGTAGTGAATAAAATATTATCAGCATATAAATTGATTGCAGTATTTGTTCTTTAACCGTTAGATAGAAAGGGTTAGAGGGTTAGAGGTTAGGGTGGGTTAGAGGGGGTTAGAGGGTTAGAGGGTTAGAGGTTAGGTTAGAGGAGGTTAGAGTTAGGGTTAGAGGTTAGAGGTTAGGGTTAGAGGTTAGGGTTAGAGGTTAGGGTTAGAGGGTTAGAGGTTAGAGGTTAGAGGGTTAGAGGGTTAGAGGTTAGGGTTAGAGGTTAGAGGTTAGGGTTAGGGTTAGTTAGAGGGTTAGAGGTTAGAGGGTTAGAGGTTAGAGGTTAGGGTTA